GCAGGAGTGTCCATGGTGGACAGGTTTCAGTGGAGCTTTCAGACTAAAACAGACTAGGAAGAAAGGCCTGGTGATCTACTTGCAAAAATTAACCAGTGAAAACCCAGTAGATCACAAAAGAGTATTGCCTGACATAGTGCTAGAAGATGGGCCCAGTAGATTGGAAGGCACTCAAAATACAGTGGCTGCAACAATGGACTTGCACATACCAACAATTATTAAGATGGCACAGGACCAGATAATGTTTTATTCTGTTGCACATGGGGTCACCATGAGTCAGAGCCGACTTGACAGCAGCTAACAACAGTCTTATATCAGATAAACAGTAAGACCTTGGAGGTAAAAACTTGGTTATTTTGGCTGACTCACTTATGGTGCTTGTTTGCTTGAGTTTTTGGTAATCTATGATTGTGAACTCAAATTTGTTTGATTTTAATCTCTGGAAATCTTGGGAGACCTAAGTAGAGAATGCTTTCCTCCAGACAGGATATGCAGTTGTTTCTGCCGGAAGCCAGGTAACCTGAAATCACTGTAGCTCCTACTTGGAGTTCTTGGCTTAAGGCAGGGGTGTTAGGTTTAGACCCTATACCCTGGGGCTTATTCCTAAAAGCAGTGCTGATATTGGCATTTACCTACAGGGCAGCTCGGCCTTCCCAGTTGCTCCCTCATTAAAACTAGTTTCAGCTGTTTTAGGAGTGGCTGATGAGAAGAAGAGTTTGCTCTTACATAGATGAGCATTTCTGTAAGATGGATGCTTGGAAATAAAATTGATGAGTCTGTTTTTGATGGTTATCTTTTGATAGATTCTTTTGGTTAATATTTGCACCATTTATTTTTTTCCATTCTTTTATTTTCAACTTTTTTGTGTCTTTGTACTTAAAGTGTGGCATATACTAGGGTTTCGTTTTTTACCCATTGTGACATTTTGTCTCTGTTTATTGGGCTTATACTTAGGTTTAAATCTTGTAATTTTTCTCACCTGTTTTAAGTTTCTTTTTTCTCTCCTCTCTTACAATCTTTTGAGTTGATTACTTTTCATCATTCCATTTCCCACTCTGTTAGCTTGCAAGTTAGAATCTTTTACTTTTTTGTTAAGTGGTTATCCTAGCTATTACAGCAAGCAATTGACTTGTTAAAGTGTAATATTATGTAGTATTTTTACTACATAAAATTACTTGGACAATGCAAGGTTCTTAGAATATATTTTATTACTACTCCTGACTTACATTGCTATTGTTGCTGCATATTCTGTTGTTTTAAACTCCACAGGACATTATTATTATTATTGTTTTATACATTATTCATTTAGATTTACCAACGTGTTTATCCCTTGCCTTGTTCTTCATTCTACCCTGAATCTCTGAGCTTATATCTGGAATCATTTTTTTTTTCTCCTAAGAACACCCTGTAATACTTCCGGTGGTTAGTTCTGCTGGTGACGAATTCTTAGTTTTTGTTTAGTGCTATGTATAAGTAATTTTTTTTTGTAGTTGCTTCATTTTTCCTGCTTAGAATTTGGAGGTTTTCTTGAATCTGTGGCTTGATGTCTTTGTTTGGTTCTAGAAAATTCTTGGCCTTAACTTTTCAAATTTTGTTTTTGCCCATTCCCTTTTCCTTCTGGGACTCTAGCTGCATATATGTTAGACATATTGTCTTTATCTTCTATGTCTCATACACTTTCTTTGAAATTTTCCAGCTGTTTTACTTTCCATGCTTTATTCTGGATATTTTCTAATCTGCTGTTAAAATTATCAGTTGAATTCTTAGTTTTGATTTTTGTATTTTTTAGTTCTAGGATTTCAGAATAGTTCATTTTTATAGTTAACAGCTCTCCTCTGAAGTTCTCAATCTTTGTCTTTCCTTTCTTGAGCAGAGTACTGCATGTGTCTGGTACCTCCAATATCTGGAGCCCATGTGAGACTGTTTCCATTATCTTTCTTTTTTTTGATTTTCATTCATGTTATCTTGTCGTCCTGTGCCTGGATATTTTTGGTTGTATGCCAGAAATTGTATTTGCACAATTATTTTAGAAATAATTTGGGGATTTGAGATTTGTTTCTGTCAAGGGCCTGGGAAGCACTAGCAAGCTGGGGTCATCTTAATCCAATTTTGGTAATTGATTTCTTCGAAGTGAAGCTGCAGTTCCTAATGGGCCTGTTGACTTCTGGTTCACCTTTAATCTTAAGGTGTAGCATTTTGGATGCTGACTCAAAGAGAGGGTTCAACAAAGTAATTGTCCCTGGAGCCCTGGAAGTCAGTTAAAAGTGCCTCTCAGCTGACCCTTCAGAATTGGCTCCCCACCCCTCCTGGGAAAAGCAACCACAAATACCTTTGTGCTCTCCCTGCTCCAGCAAGTCTTCTCTGTCTTGTTAGCTCTGCCTTCAGGTAGATGTTTTCAGTATTTTGTCCAGCTTTTCTAGTTGACCTCAGTGGTTGGGTTGGACCCAGTTACCTAGTCTATCCTTAGTAGAAGTGAAAGAGTCTAGCCCTTTCATTTTATGTTTAATGTGTGTGTATGTACATATATGTGTGTATATATATGTATATTTAATTTTTTTGCCCATTTAATTATTGAAAAATGGAGCCTTGGTGGCACAATGGTTAAGTGCTCATCTGCGAACGAAAATATTGGCGGTTTGAACCCACACAGCAGCTCTGAAGGAGAAAGAGCTGGCGATCTGTTCCTGTAAAGATTACAGCCTGGAAAACTCTATGGGGCAGTTCTACTGTGTCACATGGGGTCACTATGAGTTGAAATTGACTCAATGGCACCTAACAACAGCAACAATTGGTGAAAAATATTTCATTGTTGTAATTTGTATTTCCTTGATTATTAGTGAGATTGAGCATCTTCTCACATATTTTTGACTATATTTTTCCATCAGTTTATTTGGTCCATTTCCTTTTTGGGTAGTTGTTATGGCTTGAATTGTGTCCCCAAAAAATATGTGTCAAGTTGGCTAGGCCATGATTCCCAGTATTGTGTGATTGTCCACCATTTTGTCATCTGATGTGATTTTCCTATGTGTTGTAAATCCTACCTCTATGATGTCTATGAGATGAGATTAGCGGCAGTTATGTTAATGAGGCAGGACTCAATCGACAAGATTAGGTTGTGTCTTAAGTCAATCTCTTTTGAGATGTAAAAGAAAGAAGCGAGCAAAGAGACATGGGGACCTTATACCACCAAGAAACAAGAGCTGGGAGCAGAGCATGTCCTTTGCATTGAGAAGCTCCTTGACTGGGGAAGATTGATGACAAGGACCTTCCCCCAGAGCCAACAGAGAGAGAAGGCCTTCCCCTGGAGCTGGTGCCCTGAATTTGGACTCCTAGCCTCCTAGACTGTGAGAGAAGAAATTTCTGTTTGTTAAAGCCAACCACTTGTGATATTTCTGTTACAGCAGTACTAGATAACTAAGACAGTAGTTTTTCTTTTTTTATGTTTATCTTTAGCACTTTATAGATTCTTGATATTAATCCTGTTATGCGTTACAGATATTTTTTCCTCGTCTTTCACTTGTCTTTTACCTTTGAATTATGACTGTATCATGTACAAGCGTTTTAGTTTTTAGGTGTTCAGGTCTGTCAGTCATTTCTTTTATGGCTTCTGGGTTTTGTGTCTTGCTTACACAAGGCCTGCCCTGTGTTAAGGGCATAATAAATATTCTCCTATAATTTGTTTTTTATATTCAAAAACAATCTTTTTTTATATTTAAAAAGAAATCCTTTTGAACTGGATCTTTTTTGTGTATTATGTGAAATAACTGATTTCTTACATTATTGAATAGAGTGTAAGCACAGGACTTGCTGATTTCTTTCTGTTGTAAAAGGCTATTCCAGGCCCAAAAAGAAGAACAGCTAGAACCAGTCAGTGGGCCTAAAAAAAGCCCACACTTTGGGTTCCCCTCACTTCTCCCTGTAATGTCTTGAGGTTTTGAAGATACAGCTTGGGTGTGTTTTCTAAGGCCAGGTCCTCCTGGTTGTATGAAATTGAGGAGAATGAGTAAAAGGGAGGCAGTCAGCAGTACAAACATGGAGGCCAGTGATAAATGATCAAAGCCCACTTCCTTTTTTGTAACTAGTTTATTTTTGAAAAGTGAAAGTTATTCAACCTAAACAAAATTCAAATGATACATAAAAAAAGGGGGACTGGGTGGCTGTCTCTGCAGACCCCCATGTGTCTGTGTCTGTGAACACAGCCTCATGTAAGCAGGGGCCACAAGGGCTCACAGCTTGGTGTGGGGGCACAGCTCTGGAGCCAGACTGCTGGCATGTGGGTCCCAGCCCTGCCCTTGCCACAGTGGGCGCTAGACAAAGTGTTCTCTGTCTCAGTCTCCTTGTCCATAAACTGGGAGTGATAGTAGTGCTTGGTGCCTGCTTCGTTGGGCTGCCTGAGGAGTGAGTTAACAGTTCACAGCACGTAGAATGGTGGAATTTCTATAATACACCACACGTGACCGGACCTAGCGTGCCACAGAGACTCCTTCTGATGACGTTGAGGTTGTCGGTGACATCTCGTTGTTTGAGCACTGCATTGCTGAACCTCTTTCTAGAAGGTGTGGAATGACGCTTGTTCAGTGCTGTTGGTGGGCCAGCATGCCGGCTGGCAGACGGGCGTGGCTTTGCTGCATCTGAGGAGCCCTGGTTTTCTCCCAAAGGCAGACTGTGGTTACCTTGCTGGAGATGAGTTGAGGGTGTGGGCTTGGAAATCCACACGCCTCTTGCAGGGAAGAGGTCAAAGGGTAGGGTGGCCTTTGCACGGAGCCCTCTGGTGCTGTGCTGATTGGCGCTTTCAGAGTGGGGCATGTGTGAGGGGACTTCTTGCTCCAGGAGCTTCCTTGCTCGATGTTGGCTGCACTTATAACTACCCCCACCCCAGGTTCTGTAAAAGAAACCAGTTCTCGGCCCTGACAGGTGTGAAAGCTGGAGACGTTTTATGAGGTCCCATGCTGGTGATGTTGGGGTGTGTGGCCTGCTGCTGACTTCTCCCTTCTCTGCAGGTGCAGCAGTACCGTGTGGCCATGACTGCCAAGGACTGCTCCATCATGATCACCCTCTCCCCTTGTCTGCAGGACGAAAGGTAAGGATGGCAGTGGGCTCTTGCAGCTTGGGAGGGGCACCCTGAGGGCATGTGGTCGGGCACGTGGTCTCCTGGGCCGGCTGGGCAGTGTGGGCCTAACAAATCCTCTCAGTTAACTTGTAATGCAGTCCAAAGGCCACTGATGGAGAATAACTAAAAAAGATCGTTCTATTAAATGGAAAATGACCGTCATTATCTAAGGAAATAGCCCAAGGGCTTATAAGCAGTTTGGATACTCTGGTGCGAATGGCTTTCTCTCAAGAAAGCCCCAAGTCCCCTGTCCAGGCTCGATGACGTCTGCAGTGTCGTGGGGCCCCTGGGCCTTGCTCTTCAGTTTTCTGCCAGGTTAGCATGACTTCTCCATATTTGTATCATGTCATTCACCTGGAGGCTTTTAAGAGAACACATCTTCCTACTTCCTTCCCTGCAGAAGGGGACGGTGTCTGCAGTAGCTCCCCCTCATTTAGCCTGAACATCATCATTGTTGTCCAGCTCCCCTTTGCCCCTTTTTTGGAATTAAGGATGAACCTGATAATCTTCTCATGGTGATTAAATGGCATTGTTAGCATTGATCTTGTTTAAATTATTTTCTGACCTTCAACCAAACAGCCAACCAGTTGCCATTAAGTCGATGGTGACCCACATGTGCTACAATTGGGTTTTCAGTGGCTGATTTTTCAGAAGCAGATCGCCAGGCCTTTCTGCCAAGGTACCTTTGGGTGGACTCAAACCTCCAGCCTTTGGTTAGCAGCAGCCAGGTGCATTAACCATTTGTACCACCTAGGGACCCAGAGGTGCCAAATTCCACATGAAGTATTTATTAAATGCTTTGCATTCTTCCTAGTGACTCATCTTACATGTTTTCCTGGGCCAAGTTGACCTTTGTTGCTGGCTGCCAGCCATCTGTTTTCCTAATGCTTTTGAACTTGGCAGTTCCCTGGAAGTTCTGTTCCCTGGCAGGCCCAGAATTGACCACCTTCTGACGTGAGATACAGAGAGACTCATAGGGCAGAGCTAACATGAAAAAGGTGTTCTTTTTAGTTGAAAACTCCTGTCATATCCTCTGAAGATCCCCCATGCCTAGCTTTGCGTAACTGGTCAGCTGGATTGAGTTAGTGTCGTTAGATGGGAGGTCACGTGACCCCAAAGGACATTTGTTTCTACCAGCTTCCTGAACCAGATGCAGGTAGGTAATGGTGCTCAGAGGAAGTTGCAAAAAGGTCAGGCAGAGGCTAGGAGGTGGGATCTAAAGAGCCCTGGAGGGGTGTGTCTGCAGTCCTGGCACCCTCAGCTCAGGTCTCATTGCACCCTGCCCCCCCCCCCCACCGTGTGCCAATGTGAAGGATGAGACCCAGGGGTGCACCCAGCCCTGGGGGTCAACTTCCAGACTGTGTGCTGCCAGCTCCATGTCCAGGAATCATCCATGCCCCAGCAATCATTGGAGGCCCTGATGCTGCACGAGCAGTTCCTTGAAGCACTTTTTTTATTTGAAAAATTTGAAAACAACCTAAATGTCCAAAAAGAAGGAAATGATTAAATTGTGATGTGCTGTTTGCTTATTTTATTTAGAATTCTGTGTCATGTTTTTGCCACTTAACACTTTATCATGAGAAGTGTCCCAAGTCATTAGAAGCATACTTAATGACTGCAGCAAGCTGGGCGGGAAGCAGAGCAGAGCGGGCATCAGCAGGGAGCCCGGCAGCACACGAAGGAGAGGGTGTGGTGGAAGGCATTTCCAGGCTGTGGACGCTGATTTAAGTTAGTTTTAATCTTGAAATGTTAAAAAATGTTTTAAAGCGTGATTATAGAAGCTTTGAGTTAGAAAACTTTTGCCAGTCAGACATGTACGTTGGGTTTGGGGGAAGTGAAGACCATAGAGACTTGGGATCCCATGACCAAGTTGAGGAGGGCACTACAGAAGACGAGAAGGAATGGGGAGAAACCTGCCCTGCGGAAGCCCCTCCGCTGCACAGGTGGTGCCCGTGGGCTTAGGTGCCCACATCCAAGCAGACAGTGGGGAGACCACATTATACAACCCGACCTAGGACTAGTGTTGAGGAAGACTGAGAGAGATAGAAGGAATGGCTTCCGCCTGGAGGGAGGTGGAACGGACAGACCTGCCTCACAGACCGCACCCCTGCCGCCTGGAGATGATGACTAGAGGATGTAGCAGGAGGTGGTGTGAGAGGGCTGCCAGGGTGAGTGCAGAGACAGCCAGGGGCACTGTGCTTCTGGTGGCCCTTCTCCTGGCAAACCTGCTTCCCCGGGGACTGTATGCAGACCAAGGTCCCGTGGCGCTTGGGCAGCATTTTGAGGCATCACTGAGAGCGGGATGCCCAGGAAAGGTCTGGAAGACTAGGGCCCCTGGGTCCTTTGGGGGGAGGCATTCTCGGTGCCATCCCTGTCCAGCGGAGCAGCCCGTGGGCAGCCTGGCTGGGCTTTTAGCTCAGTGTGATCCTAGGGGGCGAGGTAACGACTCTGCTTCCTCCCCATGTGCTGTGATTCTAAACCTCCCTACAGGAAAGGAGAACAGTCCCCATTACTGCAAAACCAGACAGGCAGTGCAAAACACTGTCGTATATCATCTGTGTACTCACTGATCTCGTGGACACTAAACCTTAGACTAACTGACACCCGTTAACAGTCATCTGCAGCTCACTAACAATTGTAATAGTTACACTCATCACACCATCTGAAACAAAGGTGTCTCCAGTCTGCTTTGCTCTTTCTGCCGTGTTAAAAGAAAAAGTCTTATCTCCAGCCGCATTCCCCCTTCCATCGCTGGCAGAACCCTTCCACTGCTTGGGAATATAGCGATGCACAGGCGGCCGGTGCGTCCTTTGCTCTCTGACTCCCGCTGCTCCTCTCTCCTTCAGTTCAGACCCAGCCGGGGTGGCCAGCTGCGGCCTGGGTCTCCTCAGCCTGCCTTCGAGTTGCTGTTCCCAGGTGGCTTTGTCCCTGGTCACCCTCCCAGTTGGTCAGTGCCCCAGAGGAGATGGACATGCAGGTGGGGCAGGGACTCAGCTCCCTCCAGCCCGTCTGTACGTCATCTCATTAGGTGATGGTTTTGACACAAGAAGTTGAGGGGCCTTTAAAAACCTCAACTCTTGTCGAATGCTGGCAACGTCACAGTTGACCCTGTGGAGCTGCAGATCATGAGCCCTGACCGAGCAGGCAGCGAGTGGGCAGAGGTCTGTGTTCATGCGCTGGGGGGCCGGGGCCAGTTCAAAGTGCGACTCCTCCATTTGCAAATGCATTGTTACTCTACTCTTGGGGAGAGAGTAACTGAGCCAGTGATTTTGTTTTTCTATAAACAGGATTCTGGAGCAAGAATTTGCCAAAGACCATTTACACTGAAATTCTGGGCCTTTGATCAGTATCATTAAAACATGAAAGTTTAGTGACCCACCCCCTTCCCACTCCCAGGCAGAACCTTTGAAAACTGGTGTTTTTTGTTTTTTAATGGTGTTTCCTAAAAGAGTGGTTGGTGAGTGCAGAGAAGCCACGACCCAGAATACTTCTCGTGGGCTAACCTGAGTTTATATTGTTTATTTAATCACTCATTTGAATGTTTACTATGTGCAAGGCATTCGGAGAGGAGAGCAAGCTTAGTGCAAGATGCAGGAGTACTCTGAAAGTATTTTTAAGTGTAAGCAATTGTTAGTATTTTGTTATGAGTATTCTGATGTTAAAACATACACACACAAAAGTCCTAATAAACAGAATACAAAAGCGCTGTAGATATGATTTGAGAAATACAAAACCAAACCTCTCTCTTCAAATGGGAAAAGCAAGAAGGAATACGAGCTTGTTGCCAGCTGTGGAAGAGACACATAAAGAGAAGTCTGTTTTCATTGTCTCAGGCTGTTGAATAGCCAGACCTACATTTTCCTCGTTCTTTGTTCTGTATACTTGGCTCATGATAAAGCGACTGGCTTGGAACATGGGGAATATCAAACATACATCCTGCATAACTGCATTCCATCTTTGTCAGTCTGTTAACCCTCTCTCGTTCAAGTCCAATCCGCTGGCCTGTCACAGTGGGTGCCGGCAAAGCTTCCTTGCACGTGTGCCCACCACTGGCAGACACAGCGTTGTGCCCAGCATGGCTGCTCCTATGAGCTGGGGTGCAGGGCACAGAGGGTGTGTGTAGTCTCAACATCACATTTTGTATTTCCAGCCCTGGTCACAGAGCTGTTGTCCCTTCATCGAAGTCCCGCCTTGCCTTCTCGGTGTCTGTGCTGGACCTTGACCTCAAGCCCTACGAGAGCATTCCTCACCAGTACATGCTGGATGGCAAGATCGTCAGCTACTACTCCAAGGCTGTGCGCGCCAAGGATGCTGCCGCTGCTGCACCGCCCAGATTCAAGGGAAATGAGGATTGCACACTCGTTCTGCACAAAGTCTAGCTTTTCTCCTGCAGTATCTTTGGAACTCAAAACGTAGAATGTGAAGGCTAATGATAGAGCTGTTTTCTGTTGTGTTGGGTGACTTTTGGCCGTGAATATGTTTGTTTAACCTTTGTTGAAGTGTGGCTGCCTCTCACAGACATGGAATTGAATAGCACTAGAAATGTCTTCCAGGAGAAGGAATGTATTGACGTGAGCCCAGCAGTGTGCTGTTTCCCAGGAATGCCTTTCACGTTCTTAAAACAGAAGCTTCTGCAAAAGTGCTATGAAGACATTCTGGGTAGTTCTTCATTCTCAACCAGGCTCACGTCTGATTCTCTAATGCAAAAAGCCTTATTACTGAGACCCAAGGTTTGGGCCTCCTACCACCATACTCTTAACATAGAAAGCTTGAGTGGCCACGTGCATCTTAGAGCATGGACGTTCAAGAACACATGGATACTACTGGAATTTCTCTTCAGCCAAGTCACATGGTTGCTTTTTAAGTGTGAGCTGCCCATTGCCGCAGAGCGAGTGTGCTGGCTGGGATGTCGGCTTGAGCGTTGAGGTGGGAGTGGTGGCTGCTTGGGCCAGCAGGGGGTGCAATGACTCTCACTGAGGGGCCCCCTCCATCGAGCATTTGCACCGTGTTGGCTGAAGTTGCCTCTTTAATGTTAGGGAGAGCAATGGTATATTCTTTCCCACCTGAAATTGCTGCTGTGGAAAGTGGGAGCAGAGATGTAACTGGCTGGAGCTGCCGGGCGCTGGGCCGTCCAAGGGCAGGACTCCTGACCTGTTTGTCTCTCTGGGCGTTCTGATGTGTTTCCCTTCCCCCTTGGTTTCTTCTTGCGCCCGTTTCTACGCTGAGGCTGGTGGGCTGGTAAGTGCCCCTGGAGGCGGCCCAGAAAACCTGCTGGTGGTCAGCAGCATGCTGCTGTGAAACCCTGTTGGGGTCTTGGCATCAGTTTTTTTCTATGGTAGGTTGTACAAATTGATTACATCTTCGTTTTGAGGGACTAACGAGGGCTTATTGTAACAAAATATATTAGTGAAACCATAGGATTGTATGAAAATGCTACATGAAAAATGAGGAAAATATTTTGCTGATTGTAAATTTTTGTGGGAAATTTTGTGATAACTGGAGAATTACACTTGTTTGAACCAAGCCAGCTCTTCTAGGATTCATTGTTGAATTCTGTCCTAACATTTACTTCTTTCTTCGTTCTCCTCTGAGAGGCAGATGCTTTCACTGCTGTCTTCCTCAGGCCTCACATCACACATGGCTCTGGTACACATGTGGGCATCATCCCCTAAGGGAGTCAGGCCTGGCGAATGGATAGGGTCTGTGCAGACCCCGTGGGAAGGGTGAGCAGCATGCTCAGGCTCAGGGTGACCCGCAGCTCTGGAGGTACTGGAGTGTGATGGTTAATGTGATATGTCACCTTAGCTAGGCTATGATTCTCAGTGGTGTGGTAGACACTGGACTGGGTAGTCTTCCATAATGTAATATAATGTAATCACCTTCTGTGATGTGATGTGGTCAGCCAATCAGTTAAAAGGGGAGTTTCCTTGGGGGTGTGGCCTGTCTTCAGCATACAAATAGATACTTGGGCAAAGTGCGCTCTCTCTCTCTCTCTCTCTCGACCCTGCACTCTTCTCGTCATCTGACCTCCAGTTCTTGGGACGTAAGCCAGCCCCTGCAACCCCATGAGCCAACAGCAGAGGTCTCTAGCCTGCCGCCTGGCCCGTGGATTTGGGACTTGCCAGCCCCCACAATTGTGTGAGCCATTTCCTTGAAGTAAATCTTTCTCTATATTTATATACACATTTCACTGGTTTTGCTCCTCTAGAGAACCCAGATAAGACATGGGGGGAAATGGCTGCAGGTGTCTGCACTTGAAAGAGCCTTTGCTCCACGATTCGTTTGTTTTTTTAACCTGAGGTTGTCCAGATTATTGGCTGGGGCTGAGGGAGCCCCTCAGGGTGACCTGGCTGCCACAGGCTGTGCAGAAAGGATGTGTGCATACATGGCGGGGTGTGCCTTCGAGCCTGGGGCTGGGCCGCTTCCATGTCCTCCCAGCAGCCTCCCATCAGGGCTTGGGATGTCACCCTGTTGCCTGTGCAAGCAACTGCCTCATGCGGGCCCACTTCCTAGCAGGACTGAGCAGTATTAAAACATATCCTCTCTCTTTTGGGGAAAAAGAGAAACTAGATGAAACCCACCCCTCCTCAAAGAGCTGCCTTGTCCGCTGCCTGGCCATTTGCTGTGTGTGGGTACACAGCTGTCCTGGGATGGAGGCCTTGCCCATGTCCAGGGTGGGGGGGCTCGCCTGTGTCCTGGGTGTGCATGTGCTGCCGGAGGTGGTCAGGCTTCACCTGGCCCTCTGGCAAGCGGCACTGTTCAGACTCCAGCTGGAGGGCCCCTCCCGTCTGTGATGTTGACGCATTTGCAAACAAACAGTACATCTTTACTGGTTCTAACAGCATTTAAATTGGCGGTGGAGGTGCTCGCTGCAGTCACAATTACGTAGCACATTCAAAGCTGTGGTGGCAATGGCAACGCTAGGCCCTGTGATGTGGGAGCAGGTGCCCCCAGTGGTGGAGCAGCTGGGGAGGGAGTGCACAGGGCTGTCTTCTGTCTACTGTGTTCTGTTAAAGCTAGCAGTGCCACTTTGTGTGAAGACTAAGAAAAGTGAGTGCCAGGGGACCTGCTGAGGGGCTGGCAAGTCCCAAATCCATGGGCCAGGCGGCAGGCTGGACACCTCCCAGCTGAAGGAGGTGCGGAGGTGAGTGTAGCCCAGGCTTTCTGGGACAACCCAAGGCCTGAAGTGGCCAGTGTCTCCCCTTGGGAAGTGGAGCGATGTTTTAAAAACAAGGCTAGGTCAGCGTGTTGCTCCAGGAGCCCTGCCCAGGACCCTCCGGCACTGCCACCATAGCTCCCAGGCTCACAAAACCTCTCTCCAGGCGTCTGTAAGGATGTACAATCACTCTTGGTACACTGACTCGAATGTCAAGCTTATTTAAAAAAATACACTATACATGTCACTTGTATTTGGCATTTTGTATTTAAATAGCTGTATTTATTTTTCATGTCATGACAGTTTATATATGTGCCATATACATAGATAGCATGTTTTAAGGGTATGATTTCTAAATGAAAAATAGCAAATGTTTATATTCAATAAAATTATAAACTGCCGAGTGCAGAATCTTATTTCATAAGTGTTCAGTTTTTGTGAACTAGTCATTCTTTTGTGTTGAAAAATAATTTTATCAGGCTTTCTAGAGCGGCTTCAATTCCAAGCACTCCCAGGAGGGTGCGGAAGCTGAGAGGAGCACTTTCTATAACTTTCTTCTTGTCCAGCTCCAGGGCTATAAAGAAAACATAAACAGGTAAGAAACGTCAAAGTGACTGCCTTCTAGTTTAGCATGTTTTACTCCTGGGGTTGGTCCTCACCAAAAGCCTTCACTGAGAGCTTGAGGCAGCACCTAGGAATGAGAAGCACTGGGGGTGGGGGTGGAGCGGGGAAGGAAGGGCCTAAGCTGTCTCTGCTGGAAGCAAAGACAGAATATTGCTTTCATGCATTCAGCCCAAGAGGGCCTTTGAAGGGTCATCTCCACCCCCTCATGCTTTTTGAGTTGATTATTTATTGATAAAAGAAAATATTTTTAACTGATGATAAAAATAAAAATGTGTAAAAATGAGATTTTTCAACTTTTGATTCTTACTGCGTAAAACTAGATGAAAGACCAAAAAAACCTAATGCCGTCAAGTTGATTCTGACTCACTGCGACCCTACAGGACAGAGCAGAACCGCCCCATAGGGTTTCCAAGGCTGTAATCTTTATGGAAGTCGACTGCCACATCTTTCTTCCATGGAGCAGCTGGTGGGTTCGAACCATCAACCCGTTGGCTAGCAGGTGAGGATTTAACTACTGCGCCCCCAGGGCTCCTCAGATGGAAGAAGTAGGAGGCTTTATCTAGCATGTTCAGGAGCTACCTCAGTATATCTATATCGAGATCCTATGTACAATTTCAGATTACCTTGCTGTGGGATTTTGGTTAAAAGATCCAGCTTTGGCAAAACCTTCCCTTCATCATCTATTTGTATTCTCCAAACAATTACTAATTCAAATCTGCAAGAGGTAAAATACATTTTTAAGTGCACTTTGAAATATGATTAAAAGATCAAACTGTATGCAGCGCCTTTTATCTGTCTCTGCTAGGGGAAGAGACACCTACCAACCACCCACCCCTTGAGCAGGAGGACACCCCACCACGAGCAGGAGGACCCCTCACTCCAAGCAGGAGGGCTGCTTCCTCCCGCCCTTCCTGCCCAGGGCCGGAGGCCTCAGTGGCTGGATCCCGACACAGCCTGCATCTTGGGTGGGGCAATGGCCAGCATGGGAGCCGCAGGAGAGGTCAGAGAAGAGGGAGGCAATTGGTCAGCAACAGGCGCCCAGGGTCAGTCAGCTGGGAGAGCTGCTCCCGTGGGCTGCTGCGCCCTGGTGTGGCATGCCCTGAGCCTGCCTGCCATGGACTCACCCAGGCTGGCTGGCGCTCTGGATCCCCATGCAGCTGGAGGCGGCACCTTCGGGGAGCTGTACAACATCTGGATATTTTTCCTGCATGGGAAGACAAAACGGTTACACAGAACCCCTCCAGGGAGGGACATGAAGTGGTAGCCATGGGGCCTGGGGCTTTGGTTCTGTGTCCCTCAACTCTGCTCACGTCCTGGGTAAGGAGCACAGGGGTTGCTGGGGAGGAACAGGAGGACGCTGTTCGATGTGATCAACTGAAAATAAGGAAAAAACTTTTGAAGTGTTTTTCACGTTTTCCCTTAAATTTTATATGTGCCATCCCATACATGGGCAGCTTGGCACTGCTTTAGAAGGTTCTGTGTTGACACTGCCCGCTGTCCACCGTGTCTCCTCCAGTCTCCCTACAACAGCCACTGGACCTTTTTTTTTAATAAACTTTTTATTTTGTAATAATTTTAGATTTACAGAAAAGTTGCCAAGATAGCATAGAGTACCTGTCGTTTAACTCTCCCTGATGTCAACATCTTACAGACCATGATGGACACCAGCACGGCCGCAGGGCTGTTAGCTGAGCTTTCCCCTGACTCATCCTGACCCCCACCGGTGTCCCGTCCGTCCATCCGGGCTCAGGACCCTGCCTGGGAACCCCCACTGCATTTGGTGGGCTGTCTCCTTAGTCGCCTCTGGTCCGAGGGCTCCTCAGTCTCTCCTTGTTTTCCATGGTCTTGACAGTTTTAAAGCACCCTGGTCAGGTATTTTGTAGAACATCCCTCAATTTGGGTTTGTCTGATGTTCTCTCACAATTAGACAGGACAATAGACTGTTGGAAGGAGGACCCCAGCGAAAGGTGAGGTGCCTTCTCCTCACGTGTTGGGGCACATGGTATCAACTTGACTCACTACTCGTGGTGGTGATCACTGGTTGAGGTGCTGGCTGCCAGGTGCCTCCACTGTCAAGTTACTATTTTTCTCATTGAACGTTTGAAAACAATTTAGCATCTAACCTCACAAAGCCTTTCAGAAGGAGGCTCTGTAAGGACCTTTGGGCTCTTCCAGCCACAGTGGATGTTCATGCCCTGCCCACCCTCATGTGACTGTGTTGGATGCTCCTCATGGCCCACCCGCCTTTCAGGTGCAGCAGACAGGCTCCTGCCCAGCACACTGCCACCTGAGATGTCGTCCCTGGCACCTGGCACGGAGCGGGACTTCCTGGGTCAGCTCACATCGCACACTGTGGCCTGGCGCCTGGCACGGAGTGGGACTTCCTGGGTCAGCTCACATCGCACACTGTGGCCTGGCGCCTGGCACGGAGCGGGACTTCCTGGGTCAGCTCACATCGCACACTGCGGCATGGCACCTGGCTCCCAGTGGAAGTGCGATAGGTGCTTTTTGGTGGGTAACCTGGTTCAGGGAGCAACTGTCTAAAAGACTTATGCTCTGGTAAGTCACCTTCAGGATGAGATCTCAAAAGTATTCTCTCTAAACAGGAAAATAGAGTTGAATTTCACAAACTCCTAGGCTTGCAACAATAAGGCAGCACCCCCCTGCCCTGCCCCATTTTGGAAATGCCTGATTGTTTACATTATTCACTGCAGGACCTGGGGACATCTAGCAGACCAGAACTGGCATGTTAATTAGGCTCAGCTGTTAGGTCATAACAACGACAACATTTGCTTCCAGGAATCTGAACAGAAAAGGCACAATCACACCCAGGGGACATGAAGACCATCTTCTCAGTTCTTAGAAAACTTGTCTTTTTTGCTCTTGGGAGCATAGGTTGCAGCATCTCCACAGAGACTCTGTGGCCTTTGGACACGCTCTGAGATGGGCATTTTCCTTTCACAGTGCCCAGTACAGAGATGGAGGCCTGGAGGGGATGTCAGTCAAACCAAAGTCCCGTCCAGAATCAGAACCATCGCTGCTCCCACAGCCCTGCTTCTGAACTCCCTCATCTGCTGATTGAATCACTGTTTGCTCAGAGACCTGAGGTTTGTACGAAAAGTACAGTACAGCATCCTTGCAGAAGCTTCATCTAAAAACATTTCCAGCCTAGTGACCAATCCGGATCCCGCAGGCAGGGGGTCACAGGGCTAACCCATGAGGGGTGGCAGAGCCTGGGAGGCATGCAGAGGAGGGAGGCCTTCATGAGGGCCGCAGATGCTTGCTGGACTGAACCACGTTTAGCTCCTGGCAGATGAGGTCTCGTGGGGACAAAGATGCTGCTGTTTGTCAGGCACCAGCCTGACAGCGGTTCTTGTGCTCCCTGTGTGAGGTCAGTGCTTCCATCCACTGAGAGAAAGAGACATGCTGCGATGGAACAAAACACATCCAACCCAAACGCATTCCAAACCCAACACTGTGGGCCAGTACTTACAGATAAATGGAACTACTAATTCAGCAAAACAAATTTTGTGAGAAAATGTATACCTAAGGATTTTAAGTGGAAAACACTGGTTGATTTTTTAAACCTCAGGCCCCTCTAAATTAATAACAACTGCAGGAAGCATGTGAAGGAACAGCATGTGAACGTGGCGGTTGGGTGCACCAGTCCTGTGCACGTCCAGGCTGCGTTCAGTGGCCACATGGCGCTCAGCCCGGACAGCCTGGAGTCGGCACTGCAGCTGCGGGCGGCCCTGGGGAGTTGGGAGGACATGGGGCCTCATGCAGCCCTTTGAGCACACAGGAGGGAGTCGCACAGCCTCTGAGGCCTTTCCCTCATGAACAGAGGGAGGGTTTAGACTAAGTGCTTTCACGGAACATTGAAGTGCAATCCTTATTTTCGTTTCCAAAATAAAAAAAAAAAACAAAAGTAGAAATGCACACACTGGGAAGAGACCAGGCGTTCAGTTTTTGGCTTGTGTGAAAAGTTGTGTCCTTTTATATAAGTTATAATAGTGTTCCTTTTGTCCCATTTCATTCAGTTGTCTAGTAACCTCGTATTCAGAGCATGGTTGAGAATAAACAGGAAGCAGTTAAAGGCTGGTCAACAGTCAAATAAATAATGATGATTTTACTGCCCATCACACGTAGAAAAGATGGGTTTCCTTGACAGAACTGTGCAGAAGACTTCGAGGGCTAAAACAAAAAAGTTGTGAAATGTGCAATGTGGGTTTGAGGTCGCCCAGCATAGATCTGCACATTTCGACAGCTACTGAAGAAGAAGACTAAACACCGAGAGAGTTAAAGTCACTCTGACGAGGCAGGGATATGCACAGTATATTTTAGAATAGTTTCCATGAGAAAGTTATACACGTAAGAGGGTTAATGGGAAAATTATAAACCTGATCTGGAAAGCACCTTCGATATTTCACATTTTGCCACCAATAAAACTCAGGCCCAGAGAAATGGGCTCAGCTCCTTGTCCACGCGGGCTAGGAGATGATCTACGCCTACGACTGTTCGTGCACCACAGAGCCCTTGCAACAAAAGCACTATTAAAAAGCCCTATTTAAAAAAGCCAGTGTAGCGCCCAGTCTTCCCAGTGTCACTGTGAAGGTTATAACACAGCTGAGCAAGTGGGCAGTTGGAAGGGGACTCGCCTGGCCCTCACTCTGTGCACTGCCACCACTTGGAGCCTGTCAGCCTTCCACTGGAAGCCTGTTTTAAGCTCAGCTAGAGGAATACTGGAGCAGTGATTCAAGATGCGTGTTTATGCAGCTGCTTGCCATATGGTAGCGGCTACACTTAAGAAGTCTCCTGGTATTTGTGATAGAAAAACAGCAGCTGTGAGGATGTTGGCAATTCAATATCCAACCCCTTTTATACCTGAGACCCACTTTGCTGTTGGAATGGCTGTTGGATGCTAGTCCAACGGGGAATGTAATTTTTAGCAGAGCTTTGTAGAAAACCAGCTTCGCGTTACATATCAGACACACTAGCACAGGCAGAGGAAGAATTAGAGGTAGCCACCCCCCGCATCTGAAGTCCCACTGAATCAATGGGAAACCTGGAATCCTGGGTTTAAATCTACCCTTGGGTGTCCACAGACATGGTACTTCATCTTGATTTTAATATTTTCCAAAGAAATTAGGTCTGGCTGCTTCAGTGATTTTAAAATTGAGATATAATTCACCCTTTTAAAATGCAGTGTACAATTCAGAGGTTTTTAGTGTATTTACCATCATCACTTTCTAATTCCAGCACATTTTCTCCACCCCAAATGGAAACCCTTTACCCATTAGCCATCGCTCCCCAGTGCACCCTCACTCAGCCCCTGGCAACCACTCATCTACTTTCTTTCTCTATGAACTGGGCTGTTCTGGACATTTCAATATAAATGGAATAATAAAATGGGACCTTTCGTGTCTCACTTATTTCACTGACTTATTTCGAGGTTCATCCATGTTGTAGCATGCATCAGAACTTCATTTCTTTTTTGAGCTGAATAATGTTCCATTTGTATGTATGTGCCACATTTTGTTTATCCATTTATCTGCTGATGGATATTTGGGTTGTTTCTAGTTTTTGGCTATTGTGAATAGTGTTGCTGTGAGCCTCCCAAAGCCCGTTTGTAAATCACCTTGCCGACTGTGAGAAACCTGACCCCCTTTATCCTCAATAGGAAACAAATCTCCCAAAGAGCCTGCTACCTCCTCCCTACCCCACACCCCAAGGCAGATGCACCCTCACCACCCATTCCTCCTTGGGCTCCTGGGCACATCAGCACCTCTGTGAAGGGAAGGGAAGGAAAGACCTTATCTTTTAAAAAACACATCTAGCTTGCATAGCACTGGAGGTAGGTTTGAATATATAATAACATTTATTAAGTGATTTTATGGGCCAAATACTGTGGTGCCTTTGTCCTTTGCATCAGTGATGTGGTGTGTAAATAAAGGACTACAGTCCAGTATGAGAGCACTATAATAAAGGTATGTATGTGGTAAAGGTTTTTCAGAGTGTAAAAAACGTTGAAAAGGTAAGTGATTAACAGTCTCGTGGGACAATTTAGTCAACTGACACAACATAGTTCACAAAGATAATGTTCTGCATCCTAGTTTGGTGAGTAGCGTCTGGGGTCTTAAAAGCTTGTGAGTGGCCATCTGAGATATAACTATTGGTCTCTACTTGTATGCAGCAAAAGGGAAG